TCCCATGTAATGTTGGTAGGTTGCGTAGGAGAGGGCCATCTCAGCAGGAGCACCAAGAGGCACTGAACCTGATGGGAGCATAATCCCAGACACACAGGGAGAGTTAGAACCACCTCCTGCATCTGACCAGTGGGCAGACCATGACTATGCCTCCTCCTCAGCCACTTTTGTGCCCAACGAGGCCCAGCCCAGCAAGGTCCTGCTGTCAGCAGAGCATGGAGTGTGGGAAAGTGGACCGAACACAACTATCTGATGCACACACCTTGCTGCAATCCTGAAGGTTTGAACTGCTCCGTCACTGAGGACGAACATCAAACTGACAGAACTGAAGCATTGCCAGGTGTCTGGCAAACACTAAAAACTCTCTGGCAGGTGAAGAATTGTAGAAAGTTGTATGACTGTATTTTTTATTTCTAATAAATTCGAAATAAAATACACAATATAAACGTTTTCTTTTCTGAACACCATCTTCAGTGACATTATTGGCCCACTGGGAGGATGAGAGGACTGGCACTGGCCTTAAGGTAAATTGAATTTGAGACCCCTGATATAGAGCCTGCACTTCCTGTCTTAGCACAGACTAGTGATCCCTGAAGGAGGGAATTTCCATCCAGATTCCATTGTGCTTAGCACCCAGTTCTTTGAGGCGATGAATTACCAAGCACAGAAAATGGGACAACCTGTCCCAGAAAGGTGGGGAAGGACCAGTGAGATCCATACTGGATAGTACACAGTCCTCAACCGAAAAGTCAAAATGACAGCTTGGAGGCCTTTGATTGCTGAGATGAAGAGAAAGGCAAGGGCTTCTTTCTTTGTGATCTTTGCCTCCTCTTGGATTGATCAGGCTGCTGGAAAGGGTAGTATTGCTGTCTAAGCTGGTACTGCAGATCACATTTAGTCCTCTGTCATGGGTGTCTAGAGGTCCAAGAACTACAGCACCACTAGAGTTTATTAGAGTGTGCAGAGCCTCATCTGTCTTGGATGAGAACAAGGGACAACCCTTGAAAGGGGGGGTCCTCAATGGTTTGTTGCACCTCTACAGGAATCTGAAGGCCTGTAACCATGCTGCTCTGTGCATGGCCTAGCCTGATCCAGGTAAAAGCTAAAGCTCTTGTAACATTTAGAATATGAAACTTTTCTTTGCTTTTACTCAAATGAGGCTTTCAAAAGAAAGCCAGTAAATAAACTGTTTGGTTAATGTGAAAACTGGAAACCACACAAGTGAGGAACTCTGGGTGAGGCTGAAGGCAAACCTCGTCTCTAACAACGATTGTATAAGGAGGTTCTGATACTAAGGCTTGCAATTCCCCTACTCTTGACTGAGGCAATAGCAACCAAGAAAGGCACCTTCATAGAAAGGTAGAACAGAGGTCACCACTGGCTCAAAGGGGGGGGACCCATTAACTTTGCTAGAATTAAATTTAAGTTCCACAGGGGGACCAGGCAGTGTACCTGTGGATATCATCTGCCCAAACCCTTCAGAAACCTGACAGACTTAGCGTTTGAAAAAAGCGAGCAGTTATCCACAGGAGGGTGGAAAGCTGAGATAGTTCCCTCATAGTCCACCTGGCAGCTAACAACTAACCCTTGCTGTTTCAGGAATAAGAGAGAGTTCAATTTATGGTGAATAGATCAAGTCAGGGAAATGCCTTTCTGTGTGGACCAAATGGAGAATCTTTTCCATTTAGTAAGATAAATAGTCTTCATTGAAGGCTCTTTACTATTTAGAAGAACTTTCTCAACTCCCTTAGAGCAACTTTCTTCCAAGAGTGTCAGCCACGAAGCATCCATGCTGTCAGGTGGAGGGCCTGCAAATTGGGATGAAGACGGCACATGTGGTCTTGGGAGATTACAGCCACATCTTGCAGGAGCGACACTGGAAATCTGACTGAAAGGGCTGTAGAGTCAAGAACCAATATTGATGGGACCATGCTGGGGCTAGAAGTATAAGGTGAGCACAATCTTATTTGACTTTGGACAAGACAAGACTTTGGGCAGAAGCAGAATTGGAGGGAAGGCATATAGCAGGCCCTTAGACCAGGGTAGGAGGATAGCATCTGCCAACGAACCTGGGTTATAATCTGCTCAGGAATGACTACTTTTTTTTGCTCTTGTTGCATATAAGTCCACCTGGGGAATTCTCCAAATCTGGAAAATGGACACATCTGAACAGAGAGACCACTAATGGTGACCTTCGAATGACCTGCTTAGTAATCTGCTGGCAATGCAGAAACTCCAAAGCAGAATCGCTTTTTGGCATAACTTCATCAACTGGGATCCCCTCGTTTGTTTACATAGAACACAACTGCTGTGTTCTGTGAGCACCAACAAATTCTACCCTTTGATATGTGAAAGGAACACCATGCAAGCTAAATGGATGGGCCCGAAGCTCCCCAATATTTATATGGAGCTGTAGATCATGAATAGACCAAAGACCTTGTGTCCGAAAGGGACCTAAGTGTACTCCCCAACCTAGATCAGATGCATCTGAGACGTATGGTGAGTGTCTGATGTGCGGGAACAAAGGGAACTCCCATGCAAACATTCACAGGTATTTGAACCACCATGTCCACATGAGGACAGGCCTGTAAATACACCTACGCTAGCCAGCCTTGTAGCTCCCTAAAGTGCAGCCTGACATGCTGCACCATGTAATTGCATGCCGCCATATGCCCTAGAAGCTTGAGGCAGTTTCATACTGTAGTAACAGGATGTGCCTTTAGATCTAGAGCAATATCCTGCATTGTTTGGCATCTCAGCCCTGGCAGGAAAGATTTAGCCTTTATAGAGGTCTGGGTAGATGTCTCCATATTGATTAGGAGCCCCAGCATGTCAAAAGTGGACTGTATAGTGGCCGGGACAATACCTGTGACCTGGACTGGCCTCTTACTAGCCAGTCATCTATGTAGGGGAATATGTGGATGGCTGTCTTTTGCAGGAATGCCGCTATCACAGCTATGCACTTTGTGAACACGAGGAGCTACTGACAGACCAAAAGGCAGCACTGCGAATTGGTAGTGGGATCTATTAATCACGAACCTGAGGAATTTTCAGTGGCTCTGGTGAATAGCCATGTGAAAATAGGAGCCTTTTAAGTCGAGAGCAGCATACTAGTCACTGGAATATAGGGAAGGGATAATGGAAGCTAGAGTGACCATCCAGAATTTTATTTTCTTTAGGAATTTGTTTAGCTGTCTTAGATCTAAAATAGACCTGAGACCCCCAACCTGCCCCCTTTGCTTTTGGGATTAGGAAATTTAGGGACTAAAATCCCATCCCCTAAACAACAAGGGACCTTCCTGTATGGCCCCCGCAGGAGGAGAATGAGAAATTGGACCTCCTGAAGTAGCACATTTTTGTGAGAGTGGTTCCTAAAGAGGGACAAAGAAAGGGGATAGGGAAGGAGGGAAAGAAAATTGAAAGGTGTATCCCATTTTCACCATGCTTAGGACCCACTGATCCATGGTGATGAGGGCCCAAGCACTCAGGAAGTGGGACAGATGTTGGCAAATATTCAGATGGAGAAAGATGGTACACTGAGGAATGATAGACTGCTTTTGACCCCTGGGTCAAAATGTTTGTTAAAAGGACCCAGTTTGCCTAGATGAACTGGCAGCTGCAGAAGAGGAGGGAAGAGAAGGATGCCTGTAACTTTTGCCATTATTTCTGGACATATCCTGTGTATGAGGCATGAAAGGCAGAGATCTGGACTTTGAAGGACCAGTACCAAATTATTCTTATGTTTCAGAGGTCAGGACCAGGGATTTCCCTACAGCCCCCTGAACTCCCCACATCCCTCTAGTGGTCAACTAGGCACTGTTGCTAATTTAGTCATTTTCCAACCCCTCTGGTAAATTTGAACACCCCCTCTAATTTCAATTCCTGGAGAAAACACTGGTCAGAACTGTTCAGAAGCCCTAGACTTCGAAGACAATGGACCTGGTGATGGGGATCTGCTCTGCTGGTAATGCTAGGGAAGCACTTTGAGAGGGGTTACTGAAGAGCTTCCCTTCGACAACCAAGGGCATTCCAAAGCTAGTCTCAGGGCTGCCTTCATCAGGATGCAGTGGAGACGCCCCTCCCTCAGTTTTTGTCTTGGTCTTAAAACCATGGTAAATGGAGCATCTGTCTCTAACGTGACCCTTCTCCAAGCACTTCAGATAGCACAACTCAGGGAAAGTGATGGGCACAGGTTTTCAGCAGCCCATGCAAGGCTTGATCCTCGGGGACCTTGGTATAGGGTCATCCCAGTATTGGGTGGGGCCCAGAGGCCCTGCTAAGCAAACGTTAGCCTGAAAGCTAAAATAACCCAAATAAAACACTAAAAAAATTAATAAAAAGTTAGAAATGCATTTTTTTTTTGCTTAAAAGAATATCACTAGGTAAAGAGATCACTAGGAACACTGACGGTCTGACCACAAACTTCTTTGTGAGAAAGAAGTGAGGGTGGGGTTACTCCACCCTTTCTACCCTTGCTTTCCAACACAAGGAGCTTGGCAATGGGCAGGGCCACCTCTACAGGTACTACTAAGGAAAACTCTCTTGCACCAGTGCAAAGAGGCATGCACACACCTACACTGTAATGGACATATGCAAGCACTAATAGAAGAAATGTGCACAGATGTAATTCATGAAATCAAAATGGCTGAGAATTTAAAAACTGGATGGTAATAGACAGCAAAACTGAGTGATGATTCAACCTGGTGATATTCTGAACACAAGAGTCCTCAACCATGCTTGTAGCTGTTTCCATTACTTCATACGGTCTCTATAGACATTCCAGGCTTCAGAGTGACACACCTGGTATCTTACTTCATGGCTGCCAGATGCCCACATAGTTAGACCCTTCACCAACCAGATTCTTGCTTTTATAATGCTCATATTGTATCAATTAGCTAAATAAACAGTCTAACCAAAAGTCACAATCGTCTAGAAAATTATTTAGTGATTTGTAAACACGAAAGGGTGAACTCAAGAACCAATCAGAAGTATTAATTTACCTGGGAGTGTAAAACAGAGAGAAGCCTGTAGTATTCTTTGAGTTCCTGGTGTAAGGCAGCACAAAAACTCTGAGAGGGGAGAAAAAAAAAAAATTCAAATAAATGCTATTTCCATTTTCACTTTTATCTAGCATTTTAAAACATTGATATTAAGATTGCGTCTTTTTTCAAAACCCAAACCTAACTAAAATGTCTTCAAGAAAGCCACCTGAAGTATCATCCGGAAAGATGATATGAATGCACCAGCTGCTGCCTGTCTCTTCAGCATGCAGCTAACAGGTATATACATTGTCAGTCAGGGAACAAGAAAGTTTCTGCTGGCTGCCAACTTAATTCTACTGATAATCTAAGGCTTGGTCTACACTCACCCCCCAAATCGAACTAAGGTACGAACTAAGGTACGTGAATAACGTAGCTGAAGTTCGAAGTACCTTAGTTCGATCTTACCTCGGTCCACACGCGGCAGGCAGGCTCCCCCGTCGACTCCGCGGTACTCCTCTCGTCTAGCCGGAGTACCGCAGTCGACGGCGAGCACTTCCTGGTTCGACTTATCGCGTCCAGACAAGACGCGATAAGTCGAACCCAGAACTTCGATTGCCAGCCGCCGAACTAGCGGCTGGGTGTAGACATACCCTAAATTCTGACATCAATACCCTAAGTAATTGGGTTCTCAAATGGTTAAAAAAAAAAAAATATGAGCAGTACAACAGCATTGTGCATATCAGTTGTATGAAGACTACAGACTTCTTGGGAGCAAGAATGGCATTTGCTGTGTTTGTATAGTGCCTAGCACAAAAGGATCTCAACTTAATTGAGGCTTCTAGGCAAGACCGCAATATAAATGTTAAATAATAAAAACGTAAAGTTAAAGACTAGTATCTAATATAAAGAAGAGGTCTGTATACATCATGGGCAAGCCAGTACATTCTTCTGTGGTGCTTTGAAAAGAATTAATATTCCCTCTTTAGGTACTGCTTGTACATTTTGGCAATGGAACATGCGATAACCACTCGCCATTCCTCACCTGACACTGAAGAAAGGAAGACCAATAATAATGAAAAGTTTAAATGGTCTGAAAGGTGCACTCCATGATGATGTGGTCAAATTTACAAAGGCCTCACCCAAAGCTCAAAGAAGTCAATAGAATAATGGTTTTCAAACTGGGGAACACGAGCGCTCATCAGGGGGTACGCAAGAAAAATCCTATAGTGGCGGACAACGCATTTTACTTAGTAAGACTTGGCAATCTAATCAAAGGTATATTATGTCTGTATCTCAGATGGGGGTATACAGTAGACTATATTATGTGGAAAGGGCCTACAAATTTTGAAAACCACTGCAACTGAAAGACTTTCATTGACTTAAATGAGCTTTGAGCAGTTGCAAATACAGCACTCCATCAGAAACAAAAGCATCACAGACCATTTGGTCATCTTCTTCCAAGAAGGCCTATATTGCTAGAGTATAACCAAAAAATAACTGAACTACAGTTTTGATTAAATATTTTTCTAAAGGCAGTTGAAAACATTTTGCCAGAAATAATTTTTTTATTATTTGGGTGGAATTTGATCTAGGAGAGGATATGAAATATCATTCCCCATTATTACTATTTATTAATTCTGTTAACCTGGCACAGTAGGCTAAAAAGACTAATTTAATTTTCAAAAATTGATTACCATTTCTGAACTGTGACGGAAATGTGTTTTGCTTTTTAATCTATTTCAAGTAACAAATGATTAACACTTTATGAAATATCTAAACTACTTTGCTAATCAAAGTAAATCAGCAATTTTGATATCTGCCTTCACAAATTTGACTGAAAACAGTCCATGTCAGTATATTTACATAAAGAAGTCTGCTACATCATATACAGCTAAGTGAAATTTTTCTACTCCCTACCCCTGTCAGCCTAAAACCAAGTGAAGCAAATCCAAAGTAAAAAACTGGAGCTAACAGTACTCTGTAAAAGTAAACTAACTATTTGCTACCTTAGATGTAGCCCATTGAATAATTATTACTGACAGAAGGAAGAGAAATCCCAATTTTCCTTCCATAAATTTAAGTCCCTTATCAAAAGAATCATCTTTTTTCCAGATTAAGAAAAATGTGACCAGTATTGACATTTGATCCTAAACTTTAAAGTAAGTGAAAGTGTTCCTCTCTTCAAATTGATTTTATGAGCAAGAAAGAGAAATGCAAGAGAGAATAAATTTATCCGACTCCAGAGAGGGGTCAAGAGTTATGTACAGATTGCTGAAGAATAAGAACTCCACGACATGTAACCCTACTTTCCATTTCTTCTCACTTGTTCCTTCAGCACAATTTAGTAATTTACCAAAGCAGTGCCCATTAAACTGAAGGGCAAAGTAGGGTCTATAGTAAGATAACATTCAAAGGCACTAGTTAAATGTTATTTCTCCACATTCATTATGTCAAACATTTCTAACTTCAGCATTCAAAGCATTTACAGTCATACTGGACATCAGATCATCAATAAAATAAATGAACTTTAATAGTTCAAATTTGCACTCAGTGCCAATTGCAATTACTTGATAAAATAAGGTTTGGGATACAAAGTATGCAATGAAAACTGGATATTATCCTAGAAGTCTGACATGGCTTACAACATGGTTTCAAGGGGAAAGTAGAACTTGTGCTCAAGAGAGGGAATTTAAAATGCTTAGCACCTCAACCCTACTTTGATATTTTCTTTGAGAATGTGTGAACATGTAAGGTAATTATATTTCACTGCTGATTATCCTGGAAAAGTAGCTACAATTAAGTAGTGTAGCTGGAAAAATAAAAAGGTCAATGTGCAGTATATCTGACACGTATTGCTAGTAACTGACAGGCTAGTTTCTGACCCTCATATGTCAGTCAAAAAGCTGGGTTAACAGTAACATATACAGGTGGTTTAGGCTTAAAATAAATGTGTAATTTTCTGTGTGTGCTCTAAATAAGGATGAGATTTTCTGAGACAGCAAATTAAAGAAGCTTTCAACTGCACAGTATATTTGCAATAAGTTCTTAATGCTGAGCATGCAGCATCTGAAATTGTCAAATGAAGTGTTCAAGAATGATAAAACATGATCTTTTGCCTAGTTACTGACTAGTTAAGTAAATTATACAGCTTTATCTTCATACACTGGTGCCATAGAAGTCACACAAATGCTAGTCTCAGACACAAATCATGAATGGAAAGCTATACAGATACACTTGATGGCCTACACAGCATTCTACACAGGCCCTGAAACTTGTACTTGATGTCAGAGATATAAAACATTTAGTTTACTGAGGAATTTACAGTCTCCTGTTTTGTGAAATGAAAGACTAAAACCAGAGACAGTGAAAAATAAGCATAAGCAGGAAACTATTCTAGGAAAGAGGTTAGGAAACCTCACCTTGAAATTGAGTTTTTTCACACTCAAACACACACACACACACACACACACACACACACACACACACAGCACTGGCAAATAAAACATGGATGTCAGTATTAGCCTTTAGAAAATAATTCTTAATATTTTATTATATATTATTTAGAATGAAAAAAGGACAGTCAGAAGGGGACAGAATAAAAACCAATAGAAAAGTAGAAAGCACCATAGTGTCTCTACTGACCTCAAGAAAAATTAGACTGAAGGGAGGAGCACTTCACTTTCTTTGCAGATTAGGTAGGATGTTATGGCTAGAGGCAGGGACAACAACATTTCTGACGACTCAGAAGGAATAATATCCAGTTTTACAGAGGGAGCAAGTGAGAGGAAACGGGAATGCCTTAGCGGTAAATGTGGTTTTAGGTTTTACAGCAGCTGTGAAGTTACTGCAGACTATAAATCATGATGATGGAACCTATAAAAACAAAAATTGACATTCTTTTGATGTTGCATTCAAAAGAAATGGCAGCAGATAACTGGCGATTTGCATTTAGCCTCAGTAGTGCAGTATTTTATTTAATATCAATGAACATCATCTATCAGCTAGTCAAGAGTGTTCCCTTACACATTTTTCAGGGGAGAACGACAAAGTAAAGCAGAATCTCTCTCCTAACAATGCAAGTGGGCACACTTTAATTAGCTCAGAGATGCCACTATGCCATTCCTGGATTTTTTTTTTTTTTTTTAATATAAAAGTAAACTTAAAAAAATTTAAGTCAAGTCTATGGAGGAGGCACTCCCAACTAAGGATAGAAGGGCAAGACTGCTCCATAGGACTAGCAAGAATGAACCCTATTATGACTCAGCTGAGAGCTCCTTTACCCTACACCCAGACTTTGGCTCATAGCCAACAATGACAGTCCACACAGGAGTAAATCAAATGATACAGAAGGACATCAAGTTATGAATTCTCCAGAGTCTCCCCACCATTCCCGTATTGTATTTCTAGATCCAGCAATTCCTAAAGGGAATGAAATCAAAGTTTTGTAATCTAGCCATCTTTGTATCCAACATACCTGACCTACAAGCCCAAAGGCACGATCCAAGCTCCTCTGGTCTGTGTATCTTCTTATTTTATTGTGTAGCCATCCTAACTCTGCGAGTCTGCTTGTGGTATCTCTGAGCGATTTGGAGAGGCTGACCTACAAAGTTAGCAAAACAACAAAAGCTCATTAAGTCTGGATTAAAAAAAACAAAAACAAACCCTCCCTATTTCCCCAAGAATCTCTTTGCTCAGCATAGAGCAGACTCATTCAGTGAATGCCATTCATCCCATACCCTGAAGAAGGGATTCTGCGGTGGGGGAGGGGGAGGAGGAAATGTGATCACGTAATTAAAGACTATCATAATGTACACATACAAGGTGGCTGCATTAAGGGTGAACAAGCAATGTTAATTTTGGCCTTTCTTAACTTCTGAATGCTTGACTTTGCAACCTCAATGTTTTTTTAACATAGGTTTAAATGAAATTTCCTACTTTTTAAAAAATGCAAACCAGAAACAAAAAACAACCAGAAATTCCATCATAGAGAATCCCAGGTAGGTGAGCAGCAGAGTTGGAACCTTCAGATCCACAAACCTCTAGTACTTTGAATTAACTGAAGTTAAGCAGTACACTATTATCCTCTCTGTGGACCAGCCACTAGAAGCAGATAAGATACACACTTTGCATTTACTAGACAGCAGAGACTCAGGAATCAAGAGCTCAATTCCAAGTCCTGGATAGGGAGTGTGTTCTTAGTGATTACAGACCCTTCTACTCTGGTCTTATAGCATATACCTCCCTAGCTTGTCCCTTTCTGTCTGGCCCAGTCTTCTCCTATTTATCGCTATCCTCTTTCACCCCCTCCACTAACCTGCCTCTGTCCCATCCAGGTACTCACTCTTCTGTATTTGTCAGGCTGCTTCCTCCTCCACATTGTCTGGGTACCAACAGGGGGAGCACAAAGAACACAGGAGAGATGGCCTTGTTCTCAGTTTTGCTGCTCTGTGCCACAGCAGGTGGGAGGAACAACTGCTGGAAAAGTCCTGGTCAGTCCTGGGTTGGAACATGCTCAGTGCAGACAAAAATCTTTGGAGCATTTAGCTGCCAAATGCTAACAAGTCTCTGAGCATTTGCAAATGGCCATTTTCAGAGGCTTATAACTCAGGCAGATCTGGTGCATTTTCATGGAAACAGCAAAAGGCATCTGACTTTAGAGCCCCTGCCCTATCAAATTTCAAGACCCTGCTTCTAAGCGGAGAGGTGCTACAGCTTCTCTGTGAAACTGTGGTAAGACTAACATTGACAAAACACAGTATTTTCCTCTCTGCTCTCATAAATGGCTGAGTAGTTTTTGTAGAAAAAAAGTTAAAAAAAAAAAAAAAATCAGCCTGAGACAAAAACCCAGCATGGAAAATTTCAGCCCAAACAGCTGTAATTTGGCAAAGTTACAGGTAACTGAGAGCAGGGTTTTATACTACAAATTGTTTACGATAAGTGGAGCTGGCGGCTTCACCCATAACTTTAGCAAAATAGATGACAACAGCAACATATTTAGAATTCCACAAGCAAGAGCACTTGGTGAGGAGTGACCCTCAGCGATGTATGAGAGGAAAGAGCAAAACAGCTTAGCCACGCCAACTAAGTCAAGTGTGGGACTCCACAAGCTCACTAACTGCTGAATGTAACCAACAAGCTTAACAATATTAATATGGATATTTGACCTCTGTCTATATATATTCTAGAGTCCCGAAAGTGTGTTTTTACTCTGGAAAATTACCATGTATAAAAGGCACTTTCTTACTAAATAAATCTGCTCCTGTGTATTCGGAGGCATACCTGCGCCCCTCATGGGCAAATGTAGTTGTGTTGAATGTGCATTACCAATCAAAAAGTTGTCAAAACTTACAAGAATGGAATCCAATTCCCTTGCTTTCTCGTGCATTAAAACTGCTTACTAATTTTATCACTAAGGGCAAACGCCAAAGACATTGGGGCTGCACAGATGTATCTGAAGGCACAATTCACTATGCAGAACTTTTATTACTGGCAATGATGCATATGAAGGGAAGAACCCAGTTTCACTCTCAAAGCAGTTTGGAAATTCTAGAAAGAAGGGATTGGGGAAGTTTTCAGGCTCTGTAGTCTGCAAAGGTAAAAGGAAAGCTTTGTAAAAGCAAGCTGCTGAGAGAGATTTACCTGGATATGAAAAATCTCCCCAATTATTGTTTGGATACCTGATCATCTCATGAAAGGGCAGTTTATGAATTCCACATGTGCAGACCCCCCCCAACCAAAAGAACAAAAGCCCAACATACACACAAAACTGGGCCTGATTTTCATTTATGTTATGGCCACTCTATACTGCTTTGGCAGCATGAAGTGGCCTGAAAGTAATTTTCACCCTCTATAAGGCTATGCTACATTGCCAGAGCAGCAAAGAGTGCATGAGAATCAAACCTATTATCCTTATTTGAATAAACACTTAAAGGAAGTTGAAGGACTGTCACTGTACTCATGCTATAGGCAGCATCCACCAGCTAAAAAGTGTAGAGGGGGCTAAGGAAAGCATTTAGACCCACCCAAGGGTCCACTGCTCCCCCTCCCCTACCTCTTCTCTGGCTCCTTGCCCTTACAATACAAGCATACTCTCGTCTCCTTGCAGCCTCAAAAATGTTGATCCTTCATCTCTCTGGCCTCTCCAAGTTTGGCTCCATCTTTAGTCTTCATTTCTAAACTCATTAGATGCACCAGTTGAAACCATTGTCTTGTGATCCTCTCCTCCAGCTCCACCACAGAACACCCCCAGCCTATATCTGGCTTCCAGTCTGCTTCACTGAAACTGCAGTCACCAGACCCTTAGGGCCACTATTCCATCCTATTTCTCCTTGACCTTTCTGCTGCTTTTAATACAGTTATACTCCCCTTTCATGGCATCTTGTCCTCAATAACTCTGACCGCTCCTGGTTCTCCTCTTACTTCTTTGGAGATTCAGTGTATTTTAAATGGGTAATTCTACTATATTCCTGCTTTCCTAAAGTTCGGTTTATGGGCCCTCCTCCTCCTCTTTTACTTAGATGAGCTCATCAGATCACGTAGATTCAACTACTCTCTTTATAATGGCAACTTACAGACTAGCCTTCTCACTCCTGACCTTTCCCACATTTCAGCCTATCTAGAGGCTGTTTGGATAGACCACCAGTAACAGGATCAAAAATTAACTCTTTAGACCCATACCTGCTCCATCTCTATCTTCTAACACTGCTGACAATACCACTATACCCGACTCCCCAGCACATGAATCTTATTCCTATCTCTCGAGCCTCGCCATCATGGCCATATCCATATCTTGCCATTTCTCCCATAACACTTAAGATTTTTTTTTCCCCTTGCTATACACACAGCTAGAAATCTTGTTGAGGCCCTCATTTCCTTAGGTGAGCAGCAAACACCACCAATTTGGTCGACTTAATGTATCCTCTCTACACATGCATGTCATACATCATTTGAAAGCTTATTATGTCTACTTTAAGATAAGGTATGATGTGGAGCTGTCAAGCAGTACTGTTACCATAAAAAACAACATCAACACTTTCAAATGACCATGTTAAAATTATGTGCATTCATTTCTGTTAGTTTAATGACTATTTATAATTTGGAGAGACCAAATTAGATTGTTAACCTCAAAAGCATCACAACAACAATCATATTAAATTTGCACAAGTATCATTAAAATATAATAGCACTAGTGACATTTCTAGTCAACATCATTATCATCTCTGCCAAGACTACAAGGATTATCAGTCTTCATTGCCATGGCATGAACACAGTTCTGTACAGGGAAGACTGTTCTGACTACAGACATAGTTGATTGTGCAGCAACCCCCACTGGTACAAGCCCGAATAAGTTTTGTAGAAGCTCAGGTGCCATTGGGCCCTTGAAGAACGGAAGAAGTAGTTCATCATCCACATTTTTCTATCTATGTCACAATGGTGATCCAATGTCTGGCGAGAAGACATCCAAATTTTTGTTTGCAAAGATGCCTCTTTTGACATACTCTTCAAAACTGTCTCTCATGGTGGGAGTTTGGCCAGTGACCTGTCCTTTTTGAGCGCTACATTGAGACACAAGCAATTCAAGTCTCTGTCCTTTTCTTTCTTGGCCTGGTCATACAACACTGCTACCAACTTCCTTGCTGCAGAAATTGTGCCTTGTCAATCATTCACTCCCAGTTTAGCAAGATCTCTTAAGCGGAAAGCTCCTTATGTCTGTGTTTAATGTTGTCAAATCCCCCTCCCTGCCCCATACCTATAAGGATGACAGAGTCACACCCCGTTAGTGCATGTACAGCAGAAAGTATCTTGCACAAGACAGGAGTGAGTGTGTCACAAATTGCATGCACAGGTATAAAGCCATGCTTGTTAGTTGTGCTGGTAATGATGCCTGAAAGTAGTGAACAGCAAGGACCAAAATATCTGTATCAGGTGACCTAATTACTATGGTTCCTTTCACACCATGAGAAAAAAAAAAAAAAAAAAAAAGCAATATTGGCACGTGCAGCAGGCAGAACAACACTGGTGTCTGCTTCTTCTTGAGCAATGTACAAGCTCTGGGCTTCTTCAACATTTCTACTGGTGATGGACTTTGTTGCTTCACCATTAGAAAAGCCTCTGGCAAGGAGGAGTGTTTGTGCTGGGTGTGCTCCTACACTCAGGTGCATTTTGAACGATAAATTCAGAGGAATATTACAAGTGGACTGCTAGCTGGACACCACATTTAGAAACTTTTTCTATGGAGGTACAGGACTTCCAGCCATCACCTGGTATTTCTCGCATCCAACTTTAGATTTTGTCTAGCACTGTCTGTCTTTCTGCAGTTCACAGATACTGTTCTCATATCTGTCAAAGACTTAGATTACAGAATTAGCTTTATCAATCCTTTTAGGACCTGCCTCAAGTACTCAGCAGCCAATACATTGATTGTGTGGAATTGGTCTCCAGACATCATTTGTATGATAGCCGTGGCATCTGATGTACACGGGGGTTTCTTTGTTGAATGCTCTTAGCTCATACAACCCTTTCAGCTTGAGCTTCCAGCTGATGCCTTAATTCAGCTTTGTCTGCTCTTCTCATTCATCAGCGTGGAAGAGGAACATAGGA